TAAAATACATAAACCCCACTGCAGATCAGCAGTTATAGGCAAACATTTGCATTTGATTTTGATGATAAGGAACATCAAGCCCTATACTGGACAAACCTTTGTCCTGAAAATAAAAGAATTCCATTCTCCTTATTAGTGAACCAGTATTACAGAAAGTTGTGCTCAGCTACATTTTGAATTTTATATTTAAAAAGCTATGGAAATTTGTTTTCTCACATTGTAAGTAGCCACATAATATCCACAAATTGTGCATCTGGGCTCATAGAACCTAAAATGTTTACTGTATGGCCCATCACAGAAAAAGTTTCCTGACCTCTAAATTACATCAAGATGGTAGCAGTGGAGATAGGAAGGGGACTAATGTGACATGTATTTTTGGTGGAGGGCAGAGAAGATTGGCAATGGATTTGCCAATTAGATACTGGGTAAGATACGGGGTAAGAAGGAAGTTAAAGAATGGAGTGTGAGGCTGGGTGTGGTGATGCACACCTGTAATCCCAGCTGCCTAGGAGGCTGAGGCAAGAGGGTCACAAGTTTGAGGCCAGCCTCAAAAACTTAGGGAGTCATTGTCTCAAAGTTTAAAAAAAAAAAAGAAAAAGAAAGGGCTGGGGATGTGGCTCAGTGGTTAAGTGCCCCTGGATTCAATGCCCAGTTACCACCCACCTAAAATATGGACTGTGCCCTGTGGCTCTTCTTTCTGACCTAGGCTGCCAAGGACAGAAAATTTAACCACTACTGGGGAAAGTCCGTGGCTGGTAGTAATGGGGTGCTGTCACAGGGTATTTCCTCACTACTCTGAACCCCAGGAATGTGGTGGCAGGCATGTTCATTGATCACCTGTCCACAGTCCAGACCGTTGTGCACTACCCCTTTCCCTGATTTCTTAGCAGCTACACCTGTACTTCTCCCCAGCCAAATGTCTATGTTAGATGATCAAAGGATATGTAACTTATTTTTATTTTTCATAGTATGTAAAAACTAAAGAATTTTGGTGAAGATTGCTCTTAGGTTTTTATTTCTACAGCTTTGATGGGGTATTGCTGGCATTGAGGAGAAAGTGTAAGAATTGATCCTTGACCTTGAAAACCTCTCCATCTGGGGCTGGGGCTATAGCTCAGTTGGTAGAGCACTTGCCTCGCACATGTGAGGCACTGGGTTCAATTCTCAGCACCACATAAAAATGAAATGAAGATATTGTGTCCATCTACTATAAAAAAACATTTTTAAAAAACCACTCTCCATCTAATTGACCATCAAGTGTAAGGCACTGTGTAGATACTGCATCCACACAGGCAGAGGAGGGGTGTGAGTCCTGTGCAGCACCAGTGCAGGCAGGTTGCTCTAACCTTCCTGTGTGCTGGGTCCCTCGTCTGTAAAACAAAACGGAGATCATCTTTGGGTTCAGGTGCTCTTCAAGCCCCAACCATCAGAGTTGCTTACCTCTCAGGTTTCCAGCGGTTTTGCTCGGTCTCTGACTCCTCTCTGTCCCCACTCTTCAATCTTGCCATTGTCTTTCTACAACATAGACCTGCCACGCCCCAGCTCTTAAGAATAAGAACTTTGTCAACAATGAGCTGCCCTGGACAAAGACAGACCTGGCTGCTGGCTCGGGCTGAGGCTCAGTGGTAGAGCACTTGCCTAGCATGTGTGAGGCCCTGGGTTCCATCCTCAGGACCACATAAAAAAATTAACAAGTAAAATAAACTTTTTAAAAAGAGAGAGAGAGCGACCTGGCTGTGTATGTCCTTGACTGTTTTCTTTCTTGTCATTTCCATTCTTCAGCCAACCTTCTCTCTGCCCACACTGAGCTCCTCAGCTTTCCTTAAATATACTGTACTTGTTTTTAATCTGAAATTGGCATAAATGGTTCCATTAGCACAAAAGTTTCTCTGTTACTTCCTGTTTGAGAATACCTGCTCATTTCAGAAAAATAATTTTTATTGCCAAAAATGTATCTATTTATCACTCAAAAATGTTATATTTAAGAATGTGGACTTTACAGAATAGCTAAATCAAGCTAACTAAGATATATACTAAGATATATATTACCTCACATACTGATTGTTTTTTTTTTTTTTTTTTTGGTCAGAACATTTAAAATTTTTCTTGCTATCTTCAGTAGTATAATACATTGTCACCAACTGTATCTACTGTATCTACCATGTTGTAAAATGGACCTTTTGAACTAACTGAAATTTTATATCCTTTGACCATTAACTCTCCGCCTCTGGTAACCAACCTCTATTTTCTACTACTATTTATTTATTTTCATTTCAGCACTTGAACCCTGGGGGTACTTAACCAATGAGCCACATCACCACCCCTTTTAATTTTTCATTGTTAGGGTCTCACCAAGTTTCTTAGGGCTTTACTAAGTTGCTGAGGCTGGCTTTGAATTTGCGATCCTCTTGCCTCAATCTCCTGAGCTGCTGAGATTATGGGTGTGTACCACACATCTGGGTTTTTTCCTGGTTTAGACCCAGGGCCTCTCCCACGCTAGGCAGCACTTTACCATGAGCCACATCACACTCTCTTCTTCTATGAGTTCAATTGTTTTAGATTTCACATGGAAATGAGATCCTCAGTATTTATCTTATTTCACTTACCATACTGTCTTCCAACATCATCTTTATTGTTACAAAGGACAAGTGATTTTCTTATTTTTTAAGACAAAATAGTATTCTATCGTGTATATTACAGAATTTTTTAATTCATCCATTGGTGATCTTGACTGTTATGAATAATGCTTAAATGAACCATGAGAGTACAAATATCTCTTCAACATACTGATTTCAATTCCTTTGAATATAAAACCAGTAGTAGGATTGCTGGATCATAAGGTAGTCCTATTTTTAATTTTTCAAGAAACTCTATTCTGTGTTCTGAATGGTTGTAATTCTGTTCATTTTTTTTAATACCAGCTCTAATATTTATCCACAAATCTTCTTTAACTCTTCAGGCATTTAGTTGGTCTTTTACCCCACAGTACCTTGTACATCTTGTACAGTGGATTCATCATACTGAATTATACTTATTTAAAGTTGTGCTGTCTTTTCCTTAGTCTCCTAGAAGGCTAGCCAGCAGTGCTACACATGGTGGTCCATGGGTTGATGGGCAGTGAGAATGAGGACTATAGAAGAAGCCCCAGTATCAGATCTAGGCTTCCACTCAGGTCTTCATTGAACCTTTCACTGAACACTGAGGAAATAATTTATTTTATTCCATTCTGTGTTCTTTTTGTCACTTTTTGCCTTTATTCACTTATCCATGTCCATTTAAAAGGAAAAACAGGTAAGTGAAAAAGAAAAAGATCAACTAAATTTCCCAGAAATTAATTGTTTTACGTACATTATTTATTCTAGAATTTTCTATAATATATGGAGTTTCTTTATGAGACTTATTCTAACAAACTGATTAGTTCTTTCTTTTTGCACTTTGAAATATACTACAGGTTTAGCATCTCTAATTTGAAATTCAAAACCTTTTTGAGTGCTGTTTTTGGGGATTAGGAGTGTTCAACCAGGATACTCTATGCAAATATTCCAAAGTCCAAAAAAAGCAAAAACCCCCAACTCAGAAACATTTCTGGTCTCAGGCATTTTGGATAAGGGATATTCTACCTGTGTGAACATGTTTTGCATCTTTAAAATTTTTAGATGTCTTTGTGGATATACCGTAATTTATGTCATGACTCCTTTTGCTAGTCCTTGAGATTACCCAACATTTTTCAGTTCTATGAACTACAGGGAGATACCATATTTGTAGACTTATTTTTGTGCCTATCCATAATTTTTTTTCCTTAGTATTAATTCTTAGAAGTGAACTAAAAGGGCCCAAGTAATAGCGTGGATATTGAATTCCCTGTTCTGTAGGATGCTGCCTTCTCTGCCAGCTGAGGATGTTTTATCAAATCACTTGCAATATTTGCAAGTTGGGGAAACATTTTGCATTTAACCATTTTCTTCCTCATTTCTCCAGCCTTCCCCTGTCAAGGAGCAGCGGGCTCAGCTGAACCCTGGAGGGTCCCTCGAGGTCCCATTGCTCTAGTGATCTCAGAGCTTAATGTTAGTAAACTTGCACTTTTGGAAAAGGAGTTTAATTAAGATACATCTGTAATAGTTCATGGCATGCAGTTCAGCGAAGGCCACTCAGTCTCTCCAGGACTTCTGGGAACTTTTAAATCATAGTAGCTCATTTAGAACTGCTTGATATGAAGCTCCTGGGCCATCTCTGATTAGTACAGAAAAAGGAAAAATTTGAGGAACACGTTAGGATTGAATAGAGCACTTTTCCCAAGAGAAAGATCTGAAAAGTCTGATTTACTTTCAGTAAACTATTTAGTCAGCCATTTTTAGCAATATTTTGACTTTTAACAAGTTTAAACAAGAAAGATACATGTAAATAGTAATGTATTTGCTTTGATCATATTTGACTTATAGATAAATGTATAGTGTAAAGGTGAAATCCGTTTTTTCACTTTTCTCTGGACACAAATGAATTACATTGTTTTCATGGTTGGTTTAAACAAATGCTAATTTATTTTAATAACTTTATTGAGATACAGTTCATATGCCATCTAATTGTACCCATTTAAAATTACAATTCAGTGGGGTCTGGTCTGTTCAGAGTACATAGTTGTCACCCCCAGTGTTATTAGAACATTTTCACATCCCAAAACAAACCCCATACCAATTAGCAGTTACCCTGTCTCCTCCCAACACTCCTCCCTGAGGCAACCACTAATCTACTTTCTATTCTAGACATTTTGACTAGATGGAGCCATGCATGTTCCTTGGTGACTGCCCGCTGTTTTTGCATGTGCTGTATTTCATTCCTTTTTATTATTTAGTAACATAACACTGTTCCACTGTGTGGACGTGTACTGTGCTGTGTTTCGTCATCATCAGTTGATGGACATGCCGGTGTTTGCCTGTCGTGAACACTCATGTACAAGGTTCTGTGTGGGCGCACATTCATTTTATACTTTTTTTTTTTTTAAGTGTCTTTCTCGAGAAGCTGGTGGACACATGAGCATTCAGTTTCTTGGCACAGTGGTAAGTACAGAAGAATAATTATTTGTGTATTCTCTTAATTTAGAGACAAAAATAGTATTTGGCTAATTTTAGCCCATGAGTTTCAACCTGCTTCATTGTGGGTTTAGTTTGCTGGTAAAGTAAGATGTTTGTATAAGAAGCACATGCCTTAATGTGTTAGAGCAGTTTCCATGATAGAATTTTCATAGACACTTCTTATGAGAACATATTTTTTTAAAAATTAACTTATTGAGTATTTTAAGTACTTTTTTCTATTAAAAACTTTCTCTGTGTTTATATAATAAAAATAAGAGTGTATTACATAAAGTTGCTTTTGAAAACAGTGAGCTTGACCTTTATCCCCTTCAGTTTTCTTTAACTTTCTCTATAAGGTCCTTTTAAATCTAACTTTCTAATGAAATTTAATGATAATCCTACTTTTATTAATTTTTGTCTAAATCCTATTATTTTAGATAATGTTATAAAATAATTATAAGCACTATTTAAATATAGCTATATTTAACATTATGATGGGTAGATATGACATTTTATTTATCCCTGAATCTCACTGTTAGGTGTAGGCTACTATACTTTTTTTTTCTTTACAAATGGTATCATGATGAGCACCTTAATGTATTTTAATTCTTTGATGTTTTGAATTATTTTCAAATAAGTATAAGATATTTTAAAAATATATGATACATTTCTTGATGATGGAATGTGATGATCATTATTATCCAAAGTACAGGTATGAAAACACATGTTGGTGTGAATATACTATGTATACAACCAGAGATATGAAAAATTGTGCTCTCCATATATAATAAGAATTGTAATGCATTCTGCTGTCATATATAAATAAAAATAATAAATTAAAAAATATTTGATACATTTCTTCCTAAACATAATCAAAGCCATGAATATTTTTATGGTTCATTATAAATTTTCTAGTTATTTTATATCTTTTTAGAACCCTACCCATTATATATTAGAATACTACTTTGCACTCTCTCACTGGTATTATAGTTTTCTAAATTATTTACTGCTAAAAAGAGGTTTGCTTGATTAAATATTAAATATATTAAATGTTTTCACATATAATTTATAATTATTAGTAGTAGCATTAAAAATTTCAGAATATTTTTTAGAAAAGCACATTATTGTTTTAATTTTCACTTCTGTATTTATTGCTACTATCTTTGAATATTTTTCACATATCCATTTACTAAGTATTATTTATAATATGAGAAATGTCTACTCATGTCCTTTGGGTACATTGTTCAGGATATATATTCACATAGCAAGTTTCTGGTAGCTGGATGAGTTTATTGAGAATTTCAGAGAGGCCTGTGGCTTGAATAAAAAAAATGCAATGATTTTGCACCCAGTGAGATGGGAATGATATTATAATATATATTCACAGAGCACTTCATCATTTATATGTGCACAAAGATGTATGTGTAGTTTACATATACAAAGTATGTGTATTCAGGCTCTAGCTCATTGATTGTAACCTAAATTTTAGGTATTGAACCTAAGGCTTATGGTTATTCTTATAAAATAATGCAACAAAAACTTTATTATTGAGATGTATTTCAAGAGAAACTATATTAGATTTGAATCCAGTGGGTGAGTGTGTGTGTGCGCGCACACACACCCACATGTGTGTAGAAGGAGAAATTGATATTGATTGATTTTAAGGAATTGCTTTGCTCAGTTGTGGATGGATGGCAAGTCCTGGCCTTCAGGGTAGGCCATTCAGATGGAGACAGTGGAAGTGTGCAGTTCAATTCCCCCAAAGGCCATCTTCTGACTGATTGCTCCTTGTTGGTCAATTGTTTTCCATTAAGACTCTCAAATGATTGGATGAAGCCCCCCCACATTATAGAGGATGATCCACCTTACTCCAGGTTCACTGATTTAAATGTGCATCTCATCCAGAAAATACCCTCACAGATGCATCTGAAATGACATTTTATCAAATATCTGGGTACTGTGGTCTCACTAAGTGGACACATAAATTTAACCATCACAGAAGTGAATATCCCATCCCTTAGAGGTGTTTAGTTCTTTACAGTGGCTCTTTATTCAGAGATAGAATCACACTGTGCCCCTGATCCACTGCTGAAGTAGTAGGAAAGTGATTCTGTATAAATGGAGGCTTCTCGGCCTCTTGCTCCTCTTCAGACATGGCCGGCTCCTTCCTCAGGGGCTCTGCACTCGCCCTTCTTCTGTCGTGACTGTTAGGAACATCTGCCTACACGTCTGCTGTTTTCTTGCTATTCTGTGCCAGGGATTGAGCCCAGAGCATCAACTGCTAGGCAGGGGCTCTACCACTCAACTGCTAGGCGGGGCTCTACCATGAGCTACGGCACCAGCCCTTTTCATTTTATTTTGAGACAGGTTCTCACTAAGATGCTCAGACTGCCTCAGACTTGGATCCTCCTGCCTCAGCCTCCTGAGTAGCTGGGATTACAGTTTTGCTTCACCACACCTGGTCTCATTCATAATCTTAATCACCCTTTCTGACATTTTATTTTCCCCCTTCCTGCTTTCTTCTTTTTCTTTAGCAACTGTCACTGTTTGACACAGTATACATGCATTTTTTGATGCATTGATTGTCTTCCCTTGCATGTAGCAAGCTCCATGGGCATAGGCTTTTTGTCATTTGGCGCAATGCTCTGAACAGGACCTTGTGGGTATTCAATAAATATTGGTTCAGTGAATGAGTGCCGTTGACTCGTGTGGGATCTAAGTATCAGACTTTTAAAAGAAAAATGAAAAAAATAATATAGAAAAAAAATGTGTTAAAAGTAAGTTGGGGGGGCTGGGGTTGTGACTCAGCTGTAGAGCGCTCGCCTTGCATGTGCGGGACCCTGGGTTCGATCCTCAGCAACACATAAAAATAAATAAGTGAAATAAAGGTATTGTGTCCAACTACAACTAAAAAATAAATATTTTTTTAAAAATAAGTGGTGGGGGGGCTGGGGATATAGCTGAGTTGGTAGAGTGCTTGCCTCGTGTGCACAAGGCCCTGGGTTCAATCCCCAGCACCACACACACACACACACACACACACACACACACACAGTAAGTGTGAGGGTGTTTGGGACCTTAGAGTTGAGCTAATCTCTCTTCCTCAGATAAGGAAAGTTGGCATCAGAAGAGACGGTGTGACCTACACAAGGGCGGTCAGAGCAAAGAAGGGTGCCCAGAGTCCTCCCCTCAGTCCAGCCCTCATTCCATCAGCAGATGCCCTTTCATTTTATTCCCTTTCACTCACATTAGGCACCCAAACAGACTAGAGAGAAAGAAAGAATTAAACACACACACACACACACACACACACACACACACCACACACACACACACACACCCCTCTAATAAACTGCTAACGAATGTCACCTGAAAAAATGAAAATAAGAGTTTCATGTGGCTGATGTTCCCTTCCCCCACTAGAAAGTAAGAGACTGTTTTCTGGGGTATCCAGAGGCTCTGGGTCCACTCTACACAGAAAAGGAATCCAGTCCTAACACAGTTCTTCAGCCCAGCAGTTTGGAGACCCAGATAGTTTGTTGCATTGAATTTTTCCCCTGTGTATTATTAGCAGTAGTGGGTTAGTACAGAAGAGGCGAAATGGTGTGCAGTTCATGGACTGTCAGAACAGATGGAGATTGGCTGACTCTCTCACGTGCTGCTTCAGTGGAAGGTGTCCAAAGCAGACATAGCGGCAAGGACACAGGTCAGGAGCAGTAGTCGCATGGTAGAGGTGAGGCCCCAAGTATGCATTGTCTTTGTGAGAATCCTTGTAGAATTTTCTATTAAAGTTGGGGTTTTGAGTATTAATAACAATAGCCTTCAATGTTCAAAAAAAGTTTAAATTTAAACTAAGAAAAATACTTCTTTGTATCACTAAATTTCAGTAGTGATATTAGTATTTCAACTGAGGGAAAGTAGAGATAAGGATAATTAATTTCATTCAATTTCTACTCAGAAATTTAAAGAAATGTGTTGTTTTTATGTCCTGTAAATCTCATGACTTTTTAAAAACTTGGTTTTATTAGATGACATTACATATTACAAAATATTATAAATATATTTTACATAATTGTACGAGTACATTTAAAAGAACATTTTATAAGCTGAGCACAGTGACACATGCCTGTAATACCAGCAATTACTGAAGCTGAGGCAGGAGGATGACAAGTTTGAGGCCAGCTTCAGCCACTAAGGGAAACTCTATCTCAAAACATAAGAAATGGCAGATGATGTGGCTCAGTAGTTGGACACCCCAGGGTTCAATTCTCACTGCCTCCCCAAATAATCATGACAAATAAATAAAAACTTATAATACATTTGTAAGCTTTAAAGAATAATGATAAATTCCCATGTACCCACTATACAATTTATTTTTAGAAATTACCATGACTTTTGAAGATTTCTGGTGTTCTTCCATGATCGTGTCACTCCCTGCCATGGGAAATTTCTTCCTGATTTTGTATTTATCATTCTGTCTTTTCTTTATAATTTTTCCACATATTTGCAACCCCAAATAATACATAGTTCAGCTTTGCTTGCTTTCAGACCTGACACACATAGGGTTATATTCTCTAGTCTCCCGTGACTTGGTTTCCCTGCTGGGCCTTGTTTGTGAGACCCGTTGCATGTAGCTGGAATTCATTGGTACCCACAGCCAAGCAGACTGGTCTTGGGTTGATTAAGCTGAGCAGTTTTCAGCTTTTTGCCATAATTCTTAGTGCTGCCATGAGCATTTCTGAACATGGGTACCGTGTCCTAGAGGCACACGTGGGGCGACACTGCATAGTTATATGGATTTAGTCCATTTGTGTGTTGTTTGGATTTTTAATAAGGCAGAAAGAATCAGGTTGGGGAGCATATGACAAGTTCTGACTCTGAGTTACAGATAGAAGCAACTGTCAAGAACTGCGAGCAGTCTGAGATTTCCCTTTCTTGCAAGATGCCAAATTGATCTGCTACAATTTCATGGAGAATGCTGGAAA